GTGTGCTCTTCCGATCTATTTTCAAAGTTGGCGTTGCGCGAATCTCAGAAACTGTTCATCCAATTTACTTAAAATTTACACAGAATCTTCTACTTTGTATAATTTACAGAAGTACATACGGATTTTGCGATATGTTAAACATTTTTTATTTCTAACATTTTCTGACGAAATTTTTGGGCCGAAAATGACACCTTTTTTTCAAATGTTCGCCATTTTTATAAAATCAATATCAATATTTCGAAATATCCATATGTACTTCTTTAGTGCATATTATATAGTTTTAAAAAATTTTTGGTTTCTTGCTCTAAGTCCAACCGAATGGCAGATCCCCGCAACGCCGATTTAACAATGGCTACAAAACGACGATTAATGAAATGGTTTCAGTGTCGTCATTTTGTTAAATAGATAAATAAAAAAAATATTTTTTATTTCTAAAGACCTGCATTACTAAAGCCTTAAAACGATTTTTCTATTACTTTTATTGTTTTCCTAAAAAAAATTCCCAAAGTTACCTATGATTTTTAGACGGTCAAGGTGGTGTAACCCCTTAAGATCTTTCCAAATTCGCGCCGAGTAGATTCTTCGGGCAAAGCGGATATGGGTAAACCGGCCCATAGCTGAAATAGCTGGCCCTAGCTGTAGTCGCGTAAACAAAAAACGAGTTAAAAAAGGAAGTCCGCTAATGATAAAGAGAACGTACAGTGTTTGATGTGTTCTAAAGAATACACCGATCGACCTACCGTCCGAAGATTGGCTCCAGTGCATCCAGTGCACTAAATGGACCCATGAAAGCTACATTGCATTTGGAGAATTTGGTAACTATTTTTGCAACTATTGCAACACTAATTTTGATTTATTTAAATCCATCCGCTTTGCCCGACTGACTTATTCGCTTTGCTCAAGGGGGTCGGGCAAAGCGGATAATTTCTCTTTCTTCGCATATTTTGTTTGAAAAAAGGTTTAAATGTTTCAATTTTTTAGTTCTATCTCATTACATTTGAAAGATAATTATATTTAGATAGTTATCAGAGTAAAAAACGTTTATAATCTTTATATTTTCAACTATGTAATTTTTCTTCCCAAATCTTACCATAGCCTGGGCTTCTCCTATATACTGAACAAAATAAATGGTGTGATCTTTGCTTAAGCAAATTATGTATAGAATTTATTCATCGTACCTTCATCAGCAATTCTGAATATACCTAAAGTACCATCCATTTTCACGGTACCTTTTATAAATAGTCTCGGCCCTAGTACATCAACTTCTAAATGAAAAGTGTTATCAAAAACGTGCATTCTCACATCGTGAAAACATGCGTTTGTTAAACCTCCAACAGTAACATTTAATACAATAACTTTTGCATGTAAATTGCCATCGTTAAATACAGCTTCGTTGTTTTCGTCAATTATAAATGGATCCAAAGGCAGAAAGTCAAATTCTGGGAGTCCTATAATATCAACATAAATAAGCCAATATTAATATCGTTACTTCAAAGCAATTTGATTAAGAAATTTTAATCTTTTTTTACTTGCTTTAAATAAAATCCAAACAAACTATAAACTTATAGAAGTTTATTTAATAATGTTTATAATGGTTAATAGTAATGTAATTGTAAGTGCAAAATAAGGAATATACAAGTTATATTTAAAAGATATATAACATAAATTATAATAAGAAAAACTTATAAATTTTGAAGAAAGGTACCTTTCTCAGCAAGTTGTGGCCATACTTCTTCTAAAGCGTGTTTTAAACAAGCGAAATAATCAACAGAACCTCGACTGCAGGTGGTAAAAGCTAATTAGAAATAGTAATGGAATCAAGTTAATTAGTATTAAAATTATAAAATAGTATAAATATTGTTTTAACATAATTCAAAAAATATAAAACACAATAAAATTTAAAAAGTAACTATGTTTTGTACATATAAATATCTATAAGTACATATAATCAATGCTATGTTTATATTGAGAATATAAAATGATTGTTTTTTCTAATGTAGTAAATAATATTGCTATTCATCGTTTATAATGCATGATAATTACGCAATTCCGAGTAATTTTATAGCTGCGCATTAAAATTACTCGGAAATGTAA